TTAGTATAGTTTAGTATAGCATTCTTTAATATAATATAGTATAATAAAATAATAAGTCAGCCTTCTGAGAATATGCAGTCAGATTCATCATTCCTGCCTTTGTCTGGGAACGCCACAAATGCAGGAGGGGAAGTGACTCCAACTTCTTTTCCAAGGGAATTTTATGTGCTTTAGAACAATCAATCTACAGAAAAAGCTCTTTGGTGCCTGAATTTATTTGACCCTTCTGCAACAATGTGAAAGGACCAAGCAGATCACCAACACCCCAAATAATCCCTCTAGGTCAGGAACGTTTCCTACAAGAATTCCTATAGATTCAAAGATGGGAGAGTGAAAGCTCCAGCTCTGAATTGCCCATGGAGTGGGAAATCCTGGGAAACTGGAAGTCTGCAGTCACAACATTTCCAGAGCTGACTCAGCTCCATGAATTAACCCTGAGCACACAGAGCTTCCTCATAAATCCTACCCAACATATGGACTTGGGAAGCACAAAGTGACTGAAAACAGAGTTCTTGAAACTTTCCTGATGGTATTTAGAAAAAAAAAAATTCCATGGATTTCAGCTGGCAGCTTAAAGAGTGAACTCTCCCAACGCAGCAGTTTAATCGGGGAAGAAAAGAGGCGTCGAGTTCAAGGAAAGGAAAATTATTCACTTCCCCTGTTAATGTCAGATCCTGCAATTTCCAGTGGGCTCTGTGTCTGAGCAGAATTATTGAAGGAGCCAGCCAAGCATGAGCTGCTGAGGCAGGGATGAGGAGATGCAGGCTCCAATTAAGAGAGGGGTGTTATTCTTGTTCCATCAAGTCACTCTGCACTAATCAATATTATTGACTGGGACGAACTCCACGGCCAGGAGTAAAACAATCTGTCTGAGCTGCTGGGCCAGATGATGATGGATTTGAGGAGAACAGAACCCTGGCACTGAGAGAAAAATGTGCTTTTACATCTCCTCGGCTCTCAGCCTTCCTTTAGTAACCGTGGGTGCTCTGCAGGTAGGTGCAGGACACGGGGGGGAGGGATTTTGCTTGTATTTAAATATTTTAGCCCTAAAAAAAGATGGTGAGGTGCAAATGTTAATCCTGGTGATGCTTTGGACATCCCAAGTACACAGCAGTGCAGCTTTAATGCCATTGCTCTCCCATCTCCACTGCTCTAAACACTGGAGTTTTGTTATGGAAAATCTTGGGAAGTGATGGATTCCTCTCCCTGTGAACTGGAGATCTCCACAGGGGATTCCTGTGATGGTATCAAGGTCTGAAATGTGTTAATTACATGGAGCAGCCATGATTCCTCCACTGCAGCCAATTCCCTGTGCTGGAGAGCCACCAGCACCTCCATAAAATACGCCAGGAATATTCCTCCATCCTGACTGATTCCACCAAGAGCTTCTCCTGCAGGGAGGTGAGGGATTGTTCATCCAAACAACCCAAAACTGGCAGCTCTGGAGAACACAGGGAGCAGAGAATCCCAGAATGGTTTNGGGACAGGCCATGGCTATCCCATCAGGAACAGAATTCCTTTAGGGAATTATTGTCAGCTTAAAAAATCCTGTGATCACCCCAGATTCTCTGCACCCCATTCATCACGATTTAAATCTCTCAGCACATGAAACATTAAAATGAATAAAACCACATTAAAACTCCCCAAACTCTCCCACCCCACAGGGAGAAAAGGGCAAACTGGGTCATTCCATGTTTTCCTGAAGTTATTGATGAAATCCTCAATGCAAAGGAGTGAAGATGTTGCAGGTGCCTGGCATGAAAAATCCACTGTACACAGCTACCTTCATCTCCATGCAATTATGTTTTATGAGGCAAATGATTCCTCCAGCCTGACTTGCAGGCTGGGAATGCAAAGTGAAGTGTTTGGGAGAAGTGCTATTTAAAGCAGAGCACTCGTGTTTCACTCAGGGAGAAAATAAAAAGGGGGAAAAATAAAGCAGGAAGGCAAAGAGAAAGAATTTCAATCAATGGGAAAGATCTCATCAATAAAAATAGGAGTATCACCACTCTCTGGGCTTGCAAGATGTCTGTAAATTCATTAATGATTTAGAAATTGAAGTCCACAACATCATAGTCACACCTTGAAGCACTGAATTTCACAGTCACGCCTTGAAAACATTAAACTTCAGTTGTCCATCTCTTCCCACCATAAAATACTATAAATTATCCTGCAGCAGATTCATTTTTAGCACATTTCTTCAGTTTAAGAGACAGAGGTGGAAATGAAATGTGCTCATGGAATTCTCCACTTTGTCATGGGCACGTAGCAAGAAATAAACTCTTTTTTTCCAAGGCAAGATCTTCCACACCATAACAATTTCAGGATGTTCTCAAGATTGTTCCAATCCCTGCTGTTATAACACCAGAAATTTTGATTTGGAGGCATTGATGCGTTTTCCAAATGGGTTTTTAAGTCCTGAGAAGTCACAAATAAGCTGAACTTTCAGCCACAGAGGTACCACGAGGAGATTCCTTTCTCTGGGATCAGATCCCAATCATTTTTTTATGATTATTTTGTGACTTTTTGGGTTTAGCATTGCAGAAAGGCCCCTGTTGGATGACTCAGGACAGAGAATTCACACAAACACAGGCAAGGAGGGAAACTCCAAAGGTGCTGGGGAGAAAGGAAAATCCTCCCCGAAAAAAAGAGCTGGGAGGTTGGCATGAACCAATCCAAACTTTGAATAACTGAATTTCCACAAAACCAACAGGACAAACTGTTAGAAAAGCAGCAAAATTCAGGTTTCGGGGTGAATGATACAGTGAGGTTTATTCAAGGTTTGCTCTGTTTAAAGCTCCAGCTGTGACAATTTTGGTAATCACAGGCTCACTGTGGATCAGGAATTAATTTGCAGTCCCCAGCCCACATCAATGTTTCATCAATGAACTCACCGTGCAGCTCCTCTGACTTTTTAATAAGCACAAAGAACAGCGAGAAACAATTTGTGGCAGGTTGCAAATAAACTTCCCCCAGCTGAGGTCAATAAATGACATTGCTGGGTGACACAGGGTCACCCAGACAGGAAATCCCAGCTGACATCACAGCTCAGTTGGAAAAAGATTTAAAGATTAAAAATATTTCAAGAAAAATATTCATTTTTCTTTAAATAAGTATTTTTAAATATTTTTATATTTTTGAAATATTAAATATTTCTAAAATATTTGAATAATTTAAAGTAATAATTAAATATTTAATATTTCAGGAAAATAGTAATAATAAAAGGAACAAATTTATTTTAGAAAATATTTAATGTTAAATATTTCTAAAATATCAAATATTTCTAAAATATGTAAATAATTAATAGTAATAGTTAAATATTTAAATATTTTAGAAAATAATAAGAAATAATAAAATTACCAAAATAATTTTTGAAAAGTATTTAATATTCAATATTTTAGAAATAGTAAATATTTCTAAAATATTGAAATAATTAGAAGTCACATTTAAATACTTAAATATTTCAGAATACTACCAATAATAAAATTACCAAAATATTTTGAAAAATATTCAATATTAAATATTTAATAAATATTAAATATTTCTAAATTTTTAAAATTATTAATATTCATAATTAAGTATATAAACATTTTGGAAAACAATAATTATTCATAAAATGAACCAAATAATTTTAGAAAAATAATATTAAATATTTAAATATTTTAGAAAAATAATTATTGATAGAATTAACAAATTATTTAGAAAAATAATATTAAATATTTAAATATTTTAGAAAAAAAAAGTTTATTTTTATACGAAATTTCCCAACATCAACAACCTAAGAGCAGCCCCTTTGCGCTGGGATCTCAGAACCGGAATGTGCCCAACATCCCCACAAATCAAAGGTTTAATTCTACTTATTCTAAAGTTTTGCAGCTGTAGAAATGTGAAAAAGGCAGATTTTACCTGAGCAGGGGGTGAAAGATGATGGTGATGTTCCTGGCTCCTGGTTTGCACACAAACTTGGACCCACCACCTTCAATTAAGTTATCATCTGGTCCTCCTGGAAAATAAGGTGGCACAAGTTGTCTAACAGATCTCGACATCCCGTGATTTTCAGAGAGTAAGCGCTAATTAAACATTTAGCAAGCGATAATTAAACAGGAATTAAATGCCTATTTCCTGCTGAAAGATCAGTAATTAACGCCAGGCTTCGCTCTCTGTGCCCTCCCAGTGCAGGTGGGCTTGGAGGTGACTTTGGGCTCCTCATTCCAGAGGAATTGGGACGTTTTGGCACAAAAACCTCCAAATCCAGGTGCTGCAGAAGCCAATCACATTATTGGGACAGCTCTAGAGGCAGGGAAATGACAAAGTTTTGAAATCAAAACTACTTTAGGAGGTCATTGAAAGTTTTGACCCTGACATCCTTTGCCTCCAAAGGATTTCTCCAAATGGGAAAGAGGAGCAACACAACTGATGAGGAATTGTCACTGTCATATTTTCTGGAAAAATCCCCTTGCCCAGGATTCTTCTCCTGGGAAGCTGAGAAGCCTCAGAGAAAAAGGAAAACAATATTATCTCATTTGCTTCTCCTGTGTTTTGCTGCTTTGG